TGCCCAAAACAAGGTAAAAGATTTTCTTGATGCATGAGGAGCCAGGTAAGCCTTGGAACCTATCTGTGGCTGGAGCTTAGACAAACGCCTTACAGTAAAAATATACCAAGGTGTTATCTTCTAAGCAAACAATAAAGGCACCAGTTCCTGCCTCCAGTAGAGTGTCTTTTCCAGCTCCAGTGTGCCCTTGGTTAAAAAGAGGTATATTGTGTGGAGGAACTGTTGGTCCTCCTGACACAAGACAGCAAATTCTCTTATCAGGGTCAGAACACTGCTGCCCCCTTCTCTGCTAGAATTCCAATTAGCTCACAAACGTTTACTCCAAGGCCCTTGGCAAATGGTGGACAGTGTTTTTCTTGGCACCTCTGACTTGTTATTCATTTCCAATGATTTTAGGGGAGAAGCTTTTAAACTCACCCCAATAATGGTCTTTTTCAACAAAGACAGGGTCAAAGGTTACAGATATAAAAACCTCAGACTTCTCAGTTTGCATTTTGTTTTTTGATAAGGTACCCTGAAAAGTAAGTTCCACAACTAAGTTCCAGTAAATTTCCATGTTTTAATATATATTTTGCATGTTATAGAAGAAATCCTAAATAAAAGGCAACAATAGGAGGAAAGTCTAAATTAGTAGTTGAAGGGGAAAAAAAGACAACTTAGGTCCTTGGAAACAATTCCACAAACAGGGAAGACACTTAGCAGACTGCTTTCTTAGAAGACATAAGCATTAAGGGCTACAGTTGGCACTTACGTGAACAAGGATAAGATGACGGCATTTTTAAGAAAATGCCTGTTTCTTAAAACAGTAACGAGGCCTTCTCATTTCTACACTTCCTAAGAAATTACTTTTGTTCAATAAACTCTAGACCAAGGCAGGACCCCATCTGGAGAGCTTTCTGCCACATGAGACCTCTGGGGAGACCAGAAAGAGCTTAAAAAAAAAAAAAAAGACTGCTTGGTTAAGAATGAGAGATTTGTTGAACAAAATGATTAGTTTCATGCCACCAAAGTCAATCCTCTGGGTTCCAAAGTAGAAAATAAGACTCAACTATTCAACCCTGAAAGACAGAGAGCAAGTCTGGACTGGCAAATTTTAACTATGGAGCTTTTACAGACAGGGGGAGACAGCGACATTCAGGGCTACATATATAAAATGGTTTTGTTGGGTTTCTTTTTTTTGGGGGGGGGGGTAGGTAGCTCAGTTTCAGGTCCTTATACTTTTTAGTCTACATTCTTCTTGCTTCCTAATATTCCCACTTTCAACAGGAAAGGAGGCCCAGTACATATCACGTTAACAAGTAAGTAACTCATCATCACAAAGGAATTTCTATGTCAGATGCAAGATATTCAGGCATCCCATAAATGTGTGTGTTTGATTTGTAAGCCTGGCAGTTGAGTCAAAGGATAGTTGATACACCCTAATCACAGCATACTGCAACTGTTAGAAACCAAGGAAGCAGGCAAACAATAAACAGAAAAACTGTTGTCCCATTACATATGGAAATGGGCTTCACATACTGCTGCTTAGTAAGCTGTCCTTTCTCAAACGCAGCTAACTACTTCAGTTCTGATAACTTATTTCACAGATATAAAATTATGTCATGGAACTAAAATTCCAAGATTCGTAATTAAATGTTCTTTATTATTGTTCCTTTTTAACAAACAAAACCCTCAAAATACTAATTCTTTAAAGTCAAACCAAAAGACCTGGTACATTTAAATTATAAAAATATTTATGTTATCAAATACTGTTGTACATATCTGGAAGGTATCCTTAAAATTAGATGGGCAACGTTCCAGAAGGCTGTAAAAAACACTGCATTGCTCTCATGCTGAGATAGTAGGCAAGGGTTTTAGGAGGTGAACATGAATGAAATTTCTGTGTAATTTGGGGCCCTGAGTCTTCACACTGATTTTCAAGTTCTTATTTCCCAAAGCTAGGAATTTTAAGACTAAACAACTAGAATTTTCTGTCATTGCTGAATGTCATTAGCTTTCTCATTTTTCCAGCTAAACATCAGTTGTTGATTTTATCATCAAATCTGGGAAAATTGTTTGCTTTCATTAATGATTAGTTGAGTGGCTCACAGCAGATAAAATTACGAGAAGGGAACAATAAAAGGACAGAAAATGGGACCCAGGAAAACAGAAACTGAATATTTAACATCAGTCTCTCAAGAGAGCTGAAATAGTAGGTCTCTGCACACAGGAAGATCTTTATAAAATGAAGTTTGCTGTTGCCCACCTCTGGCAGAGAAGGGTACACACAGAGGTACAGCAGAAACTTAGTGCTAAATTTTAATTAAAAAAGAAAAATTACTACTAATTTAAGGTCTTTTTGTCACCAAATTTCAAAACAAATTCTCCTTTATCTGTAATGATCTAAACTAGACCTCTATTAACGTAATTTGTTTCTGATGAGTCTAGAAGAGGAGAGACAGATGTTCTTAAAGGGCCTTGCCAAATCCTGGATGTGTCAACTTGCCCTTGGAGATAATACATTAAAGCCAGCCACATTAAATATCAGCAACTGCTTTTCTATCACACATGCCAAAAGGTACCAACTTAAGACTACTCATGCAAAATATGGCTTGACCTTTGAAAAACACTAAAGATTCTTTACATTTGCAATTGTTGTTATGTGCCATTGAGTCACCTGCGACTCACAGCGACCCTGTTCTATCCTATGCCAATCTCATTGTCTCTGACACACCTACCCCATTATCCCAATCACTGAATCAATCCATCTCATCCAAGCTCTTCCTCTCTTACACTGTCCCTCCATCCTCTCAAGCATGACGTCCCTCTCCGTCCTTGCAACAAGTCCAAAGTATGTCAGACAAAGCTTCAGAATCCTTGCCTCCAAGGAGCAGCCTGGTTTCACTCTCTCTAGGATGAACCTGCTTGTTCTCCTAGCAGTTCATGGTATATTCAATTCTCTTCTCCAGCACCACAGCTCAAAGGCATAAATTCCCCTTCTATCATCCCTAGTCATTGTCCAGCTTTCTGATGCATAGCAAGAAACTGCAAAGACCATGGCCTAGATCATGCGCACCTTAGTCTCCAAACTGATACTGCTGCTCTTCTGTACTTTGGAGAAGTCTCTGACAGTAGCCTTTCCCAGTGCAATTTGTCTTTTACTTTCCTGGCTACTGGTGCCAAGAGTGTTGACTGTGGAGCCAAGCAAATTAAAGCTGTTAACAGTCTCCATCTATCATTTGCAAAGAAGTTTACCAAAATAATTATTCTTTCTAAAATCTATCATTTTCAATTACAACAGTGTATTTCTATCACTATACTCAATTTTGCCATTTTCCACCAATTTTTTAGAGTTCAACTGGTTCCAAGGTTTCCATTAAGCTGTCCTACCATCCTCCTACCCCTAACTACCACAGCTGTCCCTTTTGTTCTAGCCAAATAAATCTCTTGGCACCATTGTTCTTACTCCCACTGTTACCTCCGTATCCTCCTCTACCCACTATGTCTGGAACAGTCTCCCACTTCCATCTGCCATTTTCTTTCTCTCCTCTCAATCTTATCATTGCCTCAAAAGCCCACTTCTCCCAGGAAGCCTTCCTTAATGACGACTAAAACTCTTCAAGGGATTTAACAGATCTTAAAAGTTTTAAAACAGGAGACGAGAGGGATGTAAAAGCTGGAGAATGTCAGCAAGACATTCCACTCTGAAGGAAAAAATCACCATTCAAGGATCATAAGCAATCTTTTATAACTGAGGAGGCATGATGGTGGTGTTGCTAGAGTACATTTCCTATGAAACAGAACTATTTAAACAGACTGTTTCCACAAATCTTCCTTTTTAAAGATTTATTGAAATCTTCTATTATAACTCCCTCAGATCCTAAGAGTTCCTTTTCATGACCCCTAGGTGAAGTCTGTTAGCAAAAAATGCATGTTTCTAGCAGACAAAAAGCATGAGCAAATGTTTCTAGGAAAACACACAATATTTTAATTAGATGTTTTGAATGCTGAAGGAACTGAAGACTCAATTAGCTGTGGGATGACATTTGCAGAGATTCTTAAAAAGTTACTTGTATGCACAACTCCGCTTGCAACACAAATGAGACAGACATGACTCTGAGTTTGGGTTATTTGTCTTGAGGACTAAGTTTCAGATGTGGTGGGTTACTCATCTTTGTATCTAGTAAGTCCCTTCTATGAAACTGCTTTACTTTTGTTTTATATGAACAAAAGTAGCTTTTATTGTAGGTGAGCTTTTCACCATTAAGAAATTATGGTTAAGGTCTCAGATCCATGCAAAGCTGAGGTCAGATGCATTATCTACATCCTTGGTAACTATCCTGGGTAACCAAGGATAAGAACGAGGTGAGGCCAGGACACACATGTTAGCATAGACAGTGCATCGTGATGGAGCAGGAATCCAATATCCTAAGAATGCTGGAGTTACCAGAATATTTGACACACCCACAAACTAAATAAAAAAAAATTTTAATTCATTAATTCTAAAAATAACACAGACATTTTATATCTGGTGCCACCTCCTCAAAAGCCTACTGCAGATCAGCCATCCGGACAGCAAACTACAAAGCCAGACATTAAAGCTAAAGAGGCAATTTGGGACAAGACCATCGTGGGGGGGATTTTCCTCCCTTTGCTCATTAACATAAATTTTCAGCTTGAAAAATCCTTAGATGAGAAAGCTTTCCAGTGCTCTAGAACCATTCTCTTCATTTAAAAATCTTTATCTCTCGTGTAATGTTTGAAGGCAGAGCAGATTATCACAAACTACCTCCCCAGTACAAGAATCTGAGCTGGACTCCTGGGACTGTGGCTTTGTTCTATTTCTACCAATACTGTGATGTGAGGTACTATGGTTCTTGTTTTAGTTACAAGAGGTGTTAGGAAAGAATGCCCACTCACATTTAATAATAACTCATCTAGCCCACAATTTGGTAACACAATTACCAACAGGAATGTTTTACAGCAGGGTGGAGAAGAAAGCAGACATTAGTACAACACATTTTCCTTTGTCCTGCTTCTCTTTATACAATGAGAATTCAGCAAGAAATCAAAACTCTCCAGAATGCCCATACTGTCCTTCATCACACCACATTCCAAACTTGTGATTTCTGATCCCAAGTCCTTAGTGCCTCAGGCTTTAGTGATGTATCCTTCTCGGATGAGGAAGTCATAGATTTTCCGGGTTTTGTTCACGTCTATCTTGATCAGTGCTCTTGCCTGTGCCAGTCTCAAGCCTCCTTGCTTGTTACATTCGTTCAACAGAGCGGATTTGTATTCTAAATAGGCTCCAGGGACCAGCCTCACCATCTGACAAAGCTGCAAGACATGGCAAATTTAATAAACATTAACATCTGTCATTCTCATAATTTAACCCAACAGGTATATCCAAAATAATAAGAGAGTGACATCAACCTCCAACTATTTATAGGAACGACTGGGATGGCTGGATGACATTCCATTTAGTGTCATCTCTGGAGAGAACACTCCCTAAAGAGACACATCTAGGAAGGAAAAGCCAAAGTGTGATGCTAAGAGAGCATTTAGCACGTGGAGGCAGGTTCAAGGGCCTGTGCTTGTCAGGTTATAAAAGTATGTACTCCCGAGGAGCGGCCTGGCTCACTTAGGAGCCAAGCACTTAAAGGCCCAGTACATTCCTTCATTCAACACCTGCCAACACAGTCATTCAGGGAAATCCTAGGGCACTGGGTGGTGGAGGAAGGATGCAGAGACTTTAGTCTGAAATGTGAATCACACTATCTTCCGTATCAGTGCGACACAGGAGTCCCCTATCTTTGTCACATTTTTCTACTTCAGAAGGAAAGAAAATAGTAAGATCTGGTTTAAGGAGGCCACTTCAGCTGTCCAAATCCAGAAAGCTGGCCCGATTTCAGTTAACCCGCTATTCTTTAGGAATGAGATGTCTGAGGTCACCATTATATGGGGAAGGGTAAAAATTCCTTGAACTTCTGGACCATTCAATGCTTAATCAGACTAGCCTGTGACCTTCTTTAGAAGTATTTTGACATAACATATATTTCCTCCTCGTTCCAAAATAATCTTTCCTGTTTTGGGTGACGGAAAGATTAAAACTATTCCTCCTCATCATTTGTGGTAGTTTTGTTCTTACAAAGTGGCCAAATACTGAATGAGTGAATAATAAAACACAGCTTCTATAAGAAACTGAGGGAGTAACTGCTTGCAAGCTTCTGCTAATATTTCATCAAAAAATCAATACATAACCTTGTTTTAAGGGTATTTCGGTTTAAAGGTATCTCACTTAATATGTACTGTTGATCCATTAATAGTGAACTCAGTGCCAGCCACCTGAATGAATCCTATTTCACACCTGGATTTTCCCTGTAAGGTACAAGACCACCTCCTTGCATTTAGGAACAATGGACAACACATCAGCACTATGCTTAAAGAGTATCTGAAATAGAGAAACTATCAAGAAACAGTACAAAAAAAAAGGCTGGCACTAAACAGACCATGAAAAGGATGCCTGTTAGTGTGAGGGCTGAAACGTGAAGGCAGAGCACTGCTCTGTCCACCCCCACCTGGGAACATGAACCACTCACATTTTTTCCCTACTGGACCCCAGTGTGTCCATGAAGAACCACAAAAGTGCTGTGAGTACTGATTGTCAAGTTACACAAAAATCTTAGTGAGTATACAAATTCACAAATATGCAATTAACAAATACTGAAGCCTGACTTTACACAGTGATTCTTCCTTACTGTCTGTCTTGACCTAAACATATGGGAGCTCAAGATGACTTGACAGCCATGCATGGCACATTCTATTGAACTCTCTTGGTGACTCCTGAGGTTGGTTTAAAATTCAGAAATAGTCCAAAGCAACAGGAAGACATATCTGATGCTTATAGTGGGAAAGCAGGTCATGGTTTTTTCTATTAAGACTAACATATGACTATAGTGATTAAAAAAAAAAGCTATAAGCATGCTCTCTAGACAATGCAAAAAAAATATTTGAAGTGATGATTATATTGTTGAAGTAAGTGTAGAACTTTGTAAAATGGCCCTTCTAAGAAGAAATACTCATTTTCACAAAAAAGTTATTTTAGGTTTATAAAATATTAAGTTTCATAAAGCACTTGGTAGCCATATCCAGCATACAGAAACTTCCCAATAAATGATAGGTGCTGCTTATTTCCATTTTCACATGAAACAGTCCTGCTCCCAAAGAAGAATGCGGCAGAATGAGGAAAGAGGTTCTCCACAACCCCTGAGGTTAGCTCTTCAGCTCTTGGACTTCTCCCAACACGGACTGCAGCTGCGCAGGCCCTATTCTTACCTCCTTTTCTTTTTCATTCAGCTTCTCTGTGCCAGGGAGGCCAGTAAGGTTCAAGGGTGGTGCACTTCGTCTACCTACAGACACAGACAGAAAAGGCAACACATTTCACAGGTGACAAATTCCTCAAGGGTACAATACACAAAGTTCAGGGCAACGAAGATGTCTGTCTAGCTGTGGGAAATCTGTATGTCTCCTCAGCCTTTAGGTTAGCTAGTAACGTGGCCATTCTATCATTTCACTTGAAAATACAAAATGGTAATCTATATACTCTTTGTACTACCAAAATATACACACAAGCACACAAACTTTAGCATCAAATAACTACTCACAATAGTTACCACTCACTTCTTCCCAACTGAGTGAGAGACCCTAAAATCTAAAGCCCAGATGTCATCCAGTTACACACTACCTGCCCTGATACCTGATGAATGGAAACACCAACTCAGTGGGAGACATTCCCTTCCTTCTGCCATTCGGCCAGCAGCACAAGGCAAACACGGTAATTAATTAAGTACCAGAGCCTTCACATCAAAGGTAGACTGCTAGGCCAGCACAAGGCCCTTCATATTTATTATGTAAGGGAATATCTGTGCCTTCCAAAGGAGTCCTGTTTACCTGACAGATCCACATGCAGGAACAAGGAGCTATTATACTGCAAGGCAGGGGCTGAAGTCAGCTCACATACCTGGGCAAGAAACCCAAGTAGGTGGTCACTGCCCGGGATGGGAAGCTAGATGTGCGAAGTTCTTTCTGCTTTGTTTTGCTTATGTGTATTTGGGATTAGTGTTCACTGAGGGGTGGACTAAGTTACATAAAAAAAATGTGGACAAATATACATCTTCGAGCTATGGTGGCCTACTGGTAAGAACTTGCACTGCTAAACGCTAAGAGACGCAGTTTGAAACCAGCTGGTGCTCTGTAGGAGAAAGATGAGTGATCTTCCCACCTGTGATTTAAAGCCCAATGGGGGTTCAGCTATGAGCTGGTATCTGACTCAATGTTACACACCAGCTATGAACCAAAGCAAGTTTTAAGGGGATTACTTTTTAAGGGGAATAGAGAAAAGGATCAACTGTTACAGGCTATTGGAAAATAGGCTATTCTGTAACATCAACAAACACTAAAAACTCTTCTACATTTTTATCCTCAAAGCTCAAAAAGGGAGACTTAAGTCATTTGGTGTCCCTCAAAAGTCATCAGAGGCTCGGCTAGAGTTTTGGATGCCAGGTCTCTGATTGTGTATCACTTTAGAAAAAACTCGGCATAAAATTAGGGAGACTGGGGACTCTTGAGCCTAAATACAGATGGCGAGGAAGGCTAACACCAGCCTGGGAAGCAGCACTGAGTGAGTGAGTATGGCTGATTCAGAAATCACAAATAGCAAAGTCGCATATTCATTTAACCTACTCACTCATTCTAATTAGCCAGTATTAAGGTATCTGTATTTCTGTACTTAGATTTTTAGACTGAGAAGGACGGCAGAAGTAAAAAACTTACTAAAGGAAACTTTTATTATTGAGCTGGTTTGGCAACTCACCAAGTTCCCTTTCTCCCTTAGGTATTAAAAATAATTGCTTTAATAAAAGCATTAAAAATAGTGGCCTCTTTCTGAGCCCTGTCTAGATCCTGAATTTAGTGAGATATTTTGACTCAGATTATAAGCCCCCAAAGAATGGTTAAACTACAAGTGGACTGTCTTCCCCCGCTACCCCATGTCAGATGGGTGATGTACCAACGTTGTAACAAGGTTTAAGGGAAGCACATGTCATACAAAAGCATGACTACCCAATCATCACACTTATGAACTGAAAAAGGAGATGGACTGCCTTCTTGACTACTCTGTCACTGTTCAGTGGAGTAGTCATATGTGATGAGTTGTTGTTGTTGTTGTTGTTGTTGTTGTGGCTTGCTGTCGAGTCGAGCACAACTCATAGCGACCCTATGAAGGCTTTCTCTAACTATCATCATTTATCAAAGTTCACAGTTTCCAGAGGCATGTTGTTCAGAAAGTGGATGCCACTCCTGCTTCCAAATGTTATGAATAGAAGAACGAAATGGTTATTTTACCATATGGAGTAGAGAAGAATGAGAACATGAATATGGGCAAAGAAACTCCACATTCAGATCTCTGGTGGCCTATGGGTTGTACTGGCAACCCAAAGGCAAGTGTTCAAATCCACTAGCTGTTCTATGGGAGAAAGATGGGCAATCTCTGCTTGCATGATCTGCAGCCTCTGAAGGCCTGTCAGAGGTTCTGAAAACCCATCAGTTGGTCTGACTCACTGGCAGTGAGTTACTCAGTTATTTAACTAGAACCTTCTAAGTCACTGGTCAATGAATACAAACACTAAGGATTCTAAAACAACATATAGATTAATTCAACTGTGCAAATTAACCTAAATAAAGGACACACCAAAGAAGGAAAAGAGAAAAATAAAAACACTTTTAAGTCTCCAACCTATAAAGATTTTCTTACAAACAACATCTCTTTCTTCTTATACCAGATAAAAAGTTTTCCTTTATCCCTTCCAGGACAAATCTCAATATTTGTAGTAGAAACAATCATAGCAAATGAACTAAGCATCAATACTTATAAAATAATGGAAAAACCTTTCTAGAATTCCCTGTTCCCTGGTTTCTATACAGTAACTCTGATAAAAGTCCCTGACTGTCCACAAAGAGTCTAAAAATGTCTAATGTTTATAAACTGAGCTCACATTTACTTATTATTATTTTGCCTAATAAGCCCACTCTTCCAAAAAAGGGAAGTGGTGGTGTTGGGTCATCGTACCTCCTAGAATGCAAACTTCACAGTGAAGCCTTATTCCAGCCTTAGAAATAATTACCTGAATTAGAAGTCATAGGAACAGGACTCAAGCCGGAATCACTGTAACAAAGAGGAAGTTAAATATGTCACATTAAAGAATGTAATTTTCCTGCAACTACAATCCCAGAGGTGCACGGTTCGAATCCACCAGATGCTCTGCTGGAGAAGGAGGGGCAATCTCCTCCTGTACCAGTCAGATCTGATTTGATGGTACACGCACACAAAAATAATAAAATTTAAAAAAAAATGCAATTTTCAGCGAGCTCTGGTGGCCTAGTGCTAAGAATCTGCACTGCAATCCCAGAGATGTGAGGTTCGAATCCACCACATGCTCTGCTGAAAAAGGAGGGACAATCTCCTCCTGTACCAGTCAGATCTGATTTGACGGTACACACATTAAAAAAAAAAAAGTAATAAAAATAAAAAATTTTTTAAAAAAAGCAATTTTCTCCAACTTTTCTATAAGCTTTCATTAAAATCACAACAACAACAGAATGCAATTTTCAAAAGCTCCTATGAGACCGGGTGTCATTCTTCAGGTGGGTGACGCTGAAGAGATGTAATGTAACAGACTGCAGTACACGTTGTACAAGATAAGTCCCTATGCTAAACAGCAAAAGATCCCGTTACTGTGGGGAAGGAGGGGGAGAATCTTCTGGACTTGTTCAGACACGTTCTTAGCTTGACACTACTGAGATAGCTCATTAGGGAATGGACAGGAATGTCACTCCAATAGAAATTATACTGGTAAAGATGGAAGGTGAAGAATAGTCCAGCAGTGAGAGGCTGAGAAAACACACTTGAAAAAAAAAGATAAAGTAGCAAAGGAATATCTTAGGAGATCAGTTATGTTTCTCAAAACCATCGGTGTCAGACTGTTTCTAACACAGACTGCCAAAATGTTTCTAAATTCAAGCTTCCCAATTATTATCACTCTGCCATGGAGGGTAAGGAGGACTATTAGAAAATACATGCAGAAGCCAGAATGTCCAGAGGGAATGTTTGTGTCCCTCTAGACGACGTCCTCACATGTCAGCTTGCCGGCGGAGCCACTGCTGGCAGGCACTACTGTCCTGGATGTACTGGAGAACTTCCGAGAGCATGGTGCGTTTCAGGCGCTCTTCCTCTCGGGTCTTCTTCAGGTGATCGTAAGTTCTGGCACCTGGAGGTACAGAAACACCATGACTGCAGTGACCACGGCTGAAGAACTAATGTCTTCCTAACTGTCCCTCAAACCACTGGTCTTTTAGCTTTTCTTTTTTTTTAATGACCTAAGCAAAATATCTCCCACAATTATTTTTCCAAACATAAGGTATTTTCTCTAATCTGAAATCTCCTCTTGGGACAAAATGATTTAACAGTTTGGAGGAAAAACCAGAAAAACACAAAGTAACAGTCACTTCTACTTTTACTCCAAAAAGCAATTAACTTAAAGTAGTTCTTTTTGTATCCTTATTTTTGTCCACTTAGATATTTTTCAAAGTCACACAACTGCTAAAAAATATCCTTCCTTGGGAAAAAAATAAAATTACAAACAAAATTATGTCTTCTTTGGCCAGTAAAATGCCCTCCCCTCCCCCTTCTCAGAGGCAACTAACTTCAGGTAACCAAAATAATACACATCTTATTAAACAAAGTTCCACTGTTTCCCCTTGGGTATATTAATAAAGATTCCAAAATGCGTGGCAGATTCCAAAATGTGACACCTGCAAGTTTCAAATTATGCTCCACAGAGTCCTGAGGTATTACGGGATACTGATCTCCACGGGTTATGGTGAAGAGCAGGTGTAGATTCAAATATTGGACTATATAAGCTCGACATATAATAATCAACACCCATGGCACCAGCAGTCAAGAAATCCAAAGGCATGCTGCAGTGGGAAAATCTGTTGTCAAGGGCCTCTCCAAAGTGCTAAGGAGCAACACTATCGTTGAAAGACCAAGGTTCTTATGATCCAAGCCAATGCATTTTCAATTACTTCCTGTGCATCTGAGAGTTGGACAATAAGTAAGGATGACAAAAGAAGAATTGGTGCCTTTGAACTGTGGTGCTAGAGAAGAATACTGAATAGACCATGGACTACCAAAAGAACAAACATGCTGGTTTTGGAGGAAGTGCAGTCAGGTTGTTCCTTACAAGCAAGGATGGTGACACTTGATCTCACCTACAGGTATGTTGTTGGAAGGAGCCGGTCCTTGGGAAAGGACACCATAGAAAGGCAGAGGGTCAGAGAAAGAGAGGAAGACCCTCAACAAGATAGATTAACAGAGTGACTGGAACCTCCTGCTTATGAATGTGCGAGACAGTGAGGACGGCACAGGACAGGGCAGTGTTCAGACACGTTCACAAAGAGGCTGCTGTGAGCCTCCATCAAGTCAATGGCATCTGACAACAGCAATAACTCAGCAGCTCAACTATCAGATGCAACCAAGCAGCTCCATTTTTACCTTTATAGACTGGAAGTCTATATGTAATGTCATCCCAAAACAGGTTTCTATTGTTAAAAATAATTCAAGAACCATTAATTAAGGATGACCTTACATCCACAAGGCTATGTTACACACAGGTACATACAGGTAGTGGGTGATGGCTTGCCAGCCATCAAGGGTAGCTGAATGACAGGAGCGATTTACAGAGTGCTGGGTCCTGTGCTATGCTTTTATACACTATCTGTACTTTTAAAATAATGAGGCAAAGTTAAGCTCTTGTTCATAGTGCCACAAAGAGTTGTAGTCAAGTCAGCAGCACCTAACAAAGCTACCACAAGCACCAGTATTTGCCTTAGTTTCTTCATTCAATGGAAGTAACACTACACATCTCATGAGTCTGTGGTGAGGATCAAACAGCAACATCTGGGCAACATGCTTACCACAGAGCCCAGTACATGGTGAGCACGTGATCAACAATGATTACAAACAATCCAAGTATGTGGGCTGGGAACACTTAGAGTCATTTGAAGTTTGGTGGTTAAGAATGATTAGACTATAAATAATTGAATGAAAAAGATGTGAGCCTGAAGCTGTAACATAAAACTCTGTTTTCATGGTCCAATTCAGCAACTCTTTTCTCTGTGTCATGACTTATTCAACCCTAGATAATTTGCATAAGCTATTTATAGGTCTTAAAGAAATGAAATGTTACTGGACAGTAAGATCAAAAGCTCAGTCTGAAAAAGGTATTTATTAAATAATAATAATAATTAAAAAAAAAGAATTGCAGGGAGCTCTGAGGGCCTAGTGTTAAGAAGCTGCATTGTAATCCCGAAGGCACAAAGTTTGAATCCACCAGATGTTCCACTGTAGAAGGAGGGGCAATCTCCTTCTGTGCCAGTCCAATCTGATTCAGCGCGCGCGCGCGCGCGCGCACACACACACACACACACACACACACACACACACACACACACACTATCTCTCTCTCAAATTTGGTACCAAATTAAAACAGAGACTGTCCTCTCAGTGTCTGGAAGACATATTCCTAGCATGCAGCATAAGCATACTCACTACAAAAATTGGTAATGCCTGCTGTCCTGTATTCCTGGAGCCTCTTGATTTCCTTTCGGAGTTCAAATTCCACTGTTTACCACAAAAGAGAGCAAAATGAAAAATCAGAAAAAAATTAAAAAGCACCAAAATCAATATGAATGACCAGTTTCACTGCTGAGCACTTCCAGTTATTCTGCCACCTCCAAAGGACCAGGAAACTTGGTTTAGCGACTCCTACTTGTTGGTAGGAAGCCTACTCCAGCTGTCCTCTCTAGGAAACAGCAGCTGGAACTGTCCTTAAAAAAAGAGTGAACTAACAGATTCAACTGTCTAGAGAAGTAATGGCTGTAATTTTTAAAACAAACGAGTTTCCCTTCTCTGGTAACCACAGAGCCAAATTCTTCTGTAAAATATGTCGGTTACTTGACAACGCTCTGATGCAAGGAAAGGACAAACACTCCATGTTTCATTCTGCAGACATACTTTACTTTTCCTGTCCTCGTCATGGAAGTATTTCCTGTATAAGAATTGCTGGCACTTAGCTGAGTCACACTGATTGTCCTCACCAAACACCTGTTTGGTTGGCATTCTTTGTGTGGCTTACATTCAGTGAGTGATCTTTTATTCCCTTGTCCTAGCCTGTGCCACCCTGGGTTATGTGTCATCTTCAAAGAGCTACATTCTATGGGTGTCCAGGTTTTTTCTTCAGCCTCGGTTTCAAAAGCACCCAAATTAAAATGCTGTATCACATAATACCCTCCAGTAGCACAACCTGATCTGTCAGAAGATGCAAGAATATCTCCTTTAAAACAATGCTCTTGGGGAGCTCTGGTGACCTAGTGGCAAGGAGCTGCAACTACAATCCCAGAGGTGCACGGTTCGAATCCACCAGATGCTCTGCCGGGGAAGGAGGGACAATCTCCTCCTGTACCAGTCAGATCTGATTTGATGGTACACTCACACAAAAATTTAAAAAAAAAAAATTAATATAAAAAAAACAAACAATGCTCTTAATCTCTAGAGGAAAAAAGCTTTAAACTACCAGGGGTGATAGATACATGGGGGTCTGCTATATTATTAGCTGTGTCTTTTTAAACTTTCATAATAAAGAGAAAGATACTACTAAATTACTTTTTATCTGGGAAAAGTAAGCCACCTCAATGGTCCCAATTTGTCTCACTGTAATAAAGGGGACCAAAGACAATAATATCAGTTTCTTTAGTTGTAGAACTACATGTAAAATAAATTCTTATCTTTACTATTCATGCAGGCAATCTTTGTGCAACTTACTCTTACAGAAAACACACTGGAGGTTCAGCTATGAGTCTGTTTCAACTCAACAGCATACAACAATTTATTTAAATACAAATATTTGCTCAAGGCTTGAAAAGCACGTACATGCATGGCTTTCAATGAACTTGTCATGCTCCACTGGACCTACAATCCTTGCAAATCGCCTCATTGTTTCATAAAGGTCTTGAACCTCCTTGGGGTACCGCCGTTCCATTACTACGGAAAAAAGGGAAAACAGAAGCAGGTCAAGGAGAACGTCAGGATACGTGGGCTCTTTGTACTTCTTTCAAAAAAACAAGTGAGATGGGAGGACTTGCGTCCTGTCTCCAGTGCTGCTGTCTCTGTGGACCATCTTCACCCTGCAGACCACCCATCTCTTCACGCTGGAGACCAACCACACCTCACTCTTTTTCAACTGTGATTTGAGTGAAAGTTTACCAACTGGTTTCCATCAACCATTCATGCATACCTTGCTGACATCTCCCAACCTCTTGTTTTATAACATTAATGCAATCACTCTTCTCATTTCCCGCCAGTGGTTCTCATTTCTATTAATTCCTCTCTCCTACCCCTTCCTGTGTACTGGGATTTACCCTCGAGCAAGTACTGCTCTTTTGACCTGACATGCTTGGTTATTCTAAGGAGTGAACACCTCCCGGGTGATACTGTTCCCCTAATAGGTCTGTCATTTGGCTGAAAGTTAAATGCTGGTGAATTTTGTTTCAGGATGACTAAGGGCCACTGCCTTAGGAGCCACATCTCACTGTCTTCTTTTTATTTTTTATTTAATTTTACTTCTTTGAAACTGATAAACTGATTGGGGGGGATCCTTGGGAGCTCTGATGGCCAGTGGTAAGGAGCTGTGCTGCCACCTCAAAGGCAGGTGGTTAGAATCCACCAGATGCTGAGAGAGAGAGAGAGAGATGGGCAGTTTCCTCCTGTGTGATTTACAATCTCTGCAGCATGTAACTGCTGCTGGCGTTGTCGATAGGGAGCTGCATTCCTAACTCAAAGCCCACATCACATATCTCTGGTAGTTCAAAGCCACCAGCTGTTCCTCTGGACAAAGATGGGCAATCTCCTCCTGTGTGATTTACAGCCTCGGAAATCTACTGGAGGGCTAACTATGGAGGGTTCTGACTCCAAAGCAAAGCTATTATGTAGTAGGACACAATGTAAAACTACAAAATTACAAAAAGACACATTGTAAAAGGTTATGTTTCCCTCCCACCTGGTTCTGTGTCATCTAGTTTTCTTTCCTAAATTCTTGGATATCCTTCTAAGATTTCAGAGCACATTAGAATAAATAACATGTTTCCTGGCAATGGCTCCTATTATACTCGCTTCTTTTTCTCCTTTACCATATAGTATATATGCCTATCTGTGTTTGTTAATACAGAGTGTATTTTAAAATACTGGGGGTGTTTTGTCTTTTTTTTTATATAATATTTTTTTTATTGGGAAAAACATATTGGGGGTACAAGGAGGTGAGGGTTGGGGGCAGAAGGGTGAGGATGGGCCAGGATGCAGTTGCAGAGCTGCACAGTTTGGTCGGTGGGGGGAGCAGGTGAAGAAAATGATGAGGGTCCAGGTGTTTTGTCTTTTAAATTTAATTTTGTAAAACAACTATGAGATATCATTTCACCCCAGTCAAAATAGCAAAATTTAACAGAACAGCAAGCAACAAATGCTGGCGAGGTTGTGGAGAAACTGGAACCCTGATTCACTGTTGGTGGGAGTGTAAAATGGTGCAACCCCTGTGGAAAGCAGTATGGCGCTTTCTCAAAAAGTTGCAAATAGAGATACCATTTGACCCAGCATTTCCACTACTGGGAATATACCCTGAAGAGACCATAGCTGACATCCAAGCAGATATATGCACACCCATGTTCATTGCAGCTTTGTTCACAATAGCAAGGAGTTGGAAACAACCTAAGTGCCCATCAACAAACGAATGGCTAGAGAAGCTGTGGTATATTCGCACAATGGAATACTATGCTGCATTAAAAAACAAGGAACTCATGCAATATTATTCAAAATGGTTGACTCTGGAGAACATTATGCTGAGTGAAATATCCCAGTCACAAAAGGACAAATATTACATGATGCCACTGTTGTAGAATGGGACTGTCCTTGGGGTTAGGGAGACACTGAGTAAGATGGGTTCAATAATGTATACTGCACTGAAGCAGAGGAGGGAGAGAACCGTCTAAAAGAGAGATGTAACTGGGTATTTCTGTCATCACAGGAGACTAGAGCGAGGGCTGCATGGTGGAGGGGACCTGGGGGAGGGTTTGTAAAACAATGAAAGAATCTTTTATTTTACTTTTCCATAATTTTTGGACTCATGTACTTATAACTTGTTAGTCAAATTTGTGTCTTCTAGGTTGCAACACCCCCATGATACATCTTGAAGGATATGTACATGTACAGCCAAGCACAATCAATAAGAGTGCATCTGAATTCCAAAATCAATCTCCATAATAGTCTATGTGTTTCCTACTGCCAAAGGGGCCCTTTAGAGTAGTGAGAGAAGATCTTCACCCTGAAACCCACAGCGTCCCTTTTCAGCAGGAAGTAGCTAAGAGAATACGCCGTCCCCTTTTCCTTATGACTCAGGGTGAAGTCTCTCTCAGGGAGGAGTGATAGGGAATGGCAAAGGATACACTGACAAAGAAGATTAATCAGAACTGGCTTTGACAAGCACTGTGGCATTTGGACAAGAACAAACTGGGAGGAGGGTAGAGAGAATAGTGCAACAATGAATGAGTGGAAGCCCAAAATCTCTGTAAATGTTTATGAAAATTAATAAAATATAATTATAGAAAAAAAAAAAATTTAATTTTGTTGTCACTGAGAATATACACAGGAAAAAGTATACCAAATTCAACAGTTTATACATGTTCAGTTTAGTGACACTGATTATATTCTTTTTTTGTTTATAATTTTATTAATTTTAATGAACATTTACAGAGATTTTGGATTTTCATTCATTCATTGTTGCACTTTTTTCTTTAATCCCCTCCCCACGACACTGATTATATTCTTCAAATTATAAAACTATTCTTACTTTCCTTCTCTGAGTCTTTTATTAACATAAACTGTCTAAAATTCTGATACCATTTTTTGAGCTGCTGTTGATTATCAATTTGATCCATACTGATCATTCTTAAAAAAACATGATGTTCACGGGAGGTTTTTGCTACTTTGGTTTAATATGTCACTGATATTTTTGGTTTAAAATGTAAAGATTCTCTTAGGAAAATGTAAAGATTACCTTAGGGTAACAGTTTCTGAGATTCATTCGATCATCATTGCTCCAGAAAGTGTAGAGTCCATGAGAATTTGAAATTCTGTTCTAAATTTTCCCTCTTTTGATCAAGATTCCCTATGAGATTTTGGATCAACTGGTTCAGAACTGGTAGTCAATCAAGCACCATCGGGTTCTTCCAGCCTCACAGTAAAGAATATTCATGATGCTCATTAGCCACATATTCCATAGCCTCTTCCTATTTCTGACCCTTCCTTCCTCTATTGTTCCAGATGAATAGAGACCAATTGTGGTGCCTCAGATGGCTACTACCACCAAGCTTTTAAGATCTTAGCAGCTGTTAGGCAGAATAAAAGCACTAAACACCTTATTAAGCCAATTAAGTAGGAATCTCCATGAAAACCATGGCCCTAAACCCTGAAACCAACCACACAAATTCCATGATGTGTTTGTATATCAGCAGCCTCAGCAGCTATCTTGTATCCTTAGTGCTGAAAAATATCACAACAGTTAGGCCAATTCAACTATTTAGAGTCTCTGTCTTTAATGTGTAGACTCAACTCACTGCTATCCAGTAAGAACTGACTCATAGTTGACCCTCCACCAGGTTTTCTGAGGCTGTTAAGGCCCTGAGGCAGGGGAGGATATTGTCCATCTTTTTGCTCCCTTTAAGCCACTTGTGGATTCAAACCACTGGAGAGGAGTGGCCTTTGGATTAGGCAACTCCCTGCAGACAATGCCACCAGAGCTGGCAGTACTGGGAAAGACAAGAAAAGGTATATTTTGTGTTCTCAGAGACAATTTGGCCAAAACTCTAGTATTCGTTTGCACAGAAAAACATAGGAACTGGAGACACAATAATCCATCTAGAAGTAGAGAATTTATCTGGGAAAAGTGTGTGATCTCATGCCTGCACCATCTGGAAGTTCCATCCTACCTGCATATTCCCAAGTAAGGCACATATATTTCTTCAATCTCTTTTGTCTTCTCAACTAAACTAAGTACTGCACCTTTCATCACTATTATTGAAATTATATTTGATAACTACCATGTGCTGTTTGCATATCATGATTCATTTTATTTCTAAAATACAGAGAGAGTGATGAAGAGGACAGGAAGTAAAATCATTGACAACAACTGATTGAATTAGAAGGGGAGAGGAACTCGGGAACTGCTACTCATTTCATTCAGACAAATGGTAGTAAATAAGACTAGATCTATTCCTGAACCAGACACAAGCACTCACTTATGACTGTTACTTTAGTTAAGTCCTCTTTTTAGATGAGTTTCTTCCTTTGTAGGAAACCTTCCAAGAACTGATTTGATCAGCAACCACAGATTATTTTCACTACAAAATAACCCTCACTGCAGGAATAAGACAGAAGAACTTGGGGGGGAAATTTAAATTTGAAAAAGAACAAACAAATGGCAGACCTATTATTAATAAGGTCAGCACACATTCAGTATAACAGCAACTGAGTATTTCTGAAATCACATGGCATGATGCACTTCTATATTCTCATAAGCAACAAAGATGCTTCTGAAATTATTCTATTTAAGAAATATATTTAAGAAAAATGAGACCCAACTGACCTGTCCACCAGCTGAGACCAGAATTCATGTGAGAGTCTACTATGAATAAAGATCAAAAGCCAGATGCCCTTTTCTGGAAAGCCCAGAATAGTAATTAAAAACAGTAATTCAAGAATAATAATAAAAGTAGATTCAACCACGGTGCAGCCCAGGACATCACTGTCTATGCTAAGGACCAGGGATACTGAATTACTTTTGTGAACCTACTGCTTCTGAGGTGGAGTTAAATAGGCAACAGAAGGAAAATAAATGGATACAAAAATTTTAGGGATGTAATCTGGCAGCACATGTAAAAATTTTTAATGATCACATTAATTCTACTACATATTCTACTTCTGAGAATCTTTTTTTAAAAAATATTTGAAATACAGGTGAAATCTTATTCACAAATATCACAGCATTTTAATTAAGATTTAAATAACTAAAAATAAGCTAGGTAACTAACAAGGAGGCAGATTAAGCATACAATTACATCGTGAAATATATGTATACACGCGCGCGTACACACACACTCTCTTACAGAACTATTAAAGGTGATATCCTCAAAAGAACACAATGAATAGAAAAACATTATGTAAGGTTAATATAACACACTTATGGTCCTGATTTTTTATATATATATATATATATACACACACATACACACACATTTATTTAGATTGAAAAGATACACAACTATTAGCTGTCTTTACAGAAATACTATAATTATTAACTCTACAAAATAGAACAAGAATAAGCACAGGGGGGTTTTTTGATCTAGCTTACCTAGCTTGATTATTGAAAACAATAAAATCAATACCAGAATTCACTTTAAAATCATCATAAATAATCACCATTCATATAATGTTAAATATCATTTTTTAGCTAGCCCTCCACTAAGTACAATAAAAGTATCATTTTCTATTGATTTTGCCATGAAAATACTTTTCTCACCTGATGATCAAGGTTTTATAACATTTAACATATAGTTCCACAATATGGTCCAATCCATTTCTAGAAAATATTCCATTAATACTCATGCTAAAAGTACCACCCTAGATTTGTTTTTTTTTTTTCACCCTAGTTTAAAAAAAAAAAGAATTTCAGTGCAAAGACTGTTAACTATAAATTAATGTCTCTTAGCTCTCACTACGCATTGCGATAACTCTGAAGACTTAAAACCTGTAACTGCTCTCACTCACTCCATCCCTCCCCATAGCTTTCAAGGTGGCTCTAATATGCTACTTATGCTACTTAGATTATGATAAAAATATTATTGCTTTAAACAGTTTAAAAACATTGGAAAAAATTTTAAAATTAGAAAAACAGGTAATACTTACATTGAAACTTTCTAAGGTTGATTAGTCCATGGTCTCTTATAATTCTAGAATGAAAACCCACAATAATCTGTATTTTATTATTAGTTTCACATTTAATAATGTCTTTCACATTTATTTTTATTAGAAATCCCAAACTTCCTGAGATAGAACAATGAGGCCATAAAATTCTGCCAGTAAGTGAATGACTTCTACAATTTTAGGGTCCCCAGCATCACGTTTTTCCTGTCATTCATATATATATGAATACACACACACACACACACACACACACACACACACTCACTCTCTCTCTCTCTCTCTCTCTCTCTTATATATGGTTATGTGCTGTCCAGGCAACAATGACTCTGAGCAAAACCAATCAAACTGAATAGGTCTCCATTGTTTTTAAAAAATCTATTTCTTAATTATCTGTATTTTATATATCCAAGTATTGATATTCTTTTTGGTTTTTTTT